ACACGACAGAGTCTGGAAAAGCTAATTATCCTCTTTTCAAGATTTTCTTACAGTTACAGACGATCAAGTAGCTGTTCTGGTCGATGATGTGCAATCAGTCTACTCGGAATTTCTCGGAAAGCTTTTACCCTCCTGATTAAACAGGCAGATTTGGCTGCCGTCCACCTATCCTTTCTTTTTGTCTTGAACGCGGATTGATGCCTACAGCTGCCAACAGTCACACTGAAAACATGAATCAACAAACCAACATGCTAAAATTGGTGGATGACAAAGAGTCTGAGTTACTCATGATGTAGTTGAGACCCTGTACCAACTCTGGACAGCCCACCTCTAGACTTCCAATTAAATGAGAGCCACCAGGCAGGTTTTGTTCCTTGGCCTATACCCACTAGATGCTAGCAGCAACTAAAGATAGTCGTGACAATTAAAAATGTTTCCAGTTACGGTCAACTGACCCTAGTGGGCAAAACTGCTAGTTGAGAACCATTACCTTATATTAGTATTTTGGTTTTTTAACTTTCAATAATACCGTAAATGTATTATTTTGATACAATTAAATTATGAAAAAAGAAACTAACAGTATGAAAAGAGCTAGATGAGAGACCACCAATGTTTTGCCTCCTTTTAAAACCTCCCAATTTTCTTCCTGACCTCTCCCTGGGCCTAAGGGTCTCACTCCTTCTTTCTCAGACATGCACAGACAGAACAGAGACACTTACCACCTAGAAATGCACACTCATAATGGCTGCAGGTCTTGTTTGTGCTTTGAAGGATAAGGTTATTGCCAGCCCCACCCTGTGACACATGAAAAACCTCATTCAGAGGTATTAAAATAATTCTTTCACTTTCTTTATCAAAAAATTTTTCAACGGCAATTCCAAAGCATGTGTTGATGGTTAACAGAACGTCTTGGTCATTAGCAACTTGAGGTTTGGTTGAATATGCCAAAGTGAAATGGCCAAATCGGACTTGGTTTAGTCCTCCAAATGTAAATAAAGTAGTCTGCCTTACGCTATACACCACGTTTTTGTAACTGTTCTCACAAGATCTTCTCAGCAACTGCAGAGCTTTTGTCAGGTAAAAATGAAAAGCTTTGAACTGGAAGCCATAGACATAATCTTTTCGAGACCGGCCAGCCATTTTCCCAGCTTCATTGAACAGATGGTAAAAGGAAGTTTGCTCCTGAGCTTCAGAAACATATGCCATCAGGGCTATTCCATGGTTATCCTTAAAACCCATTGGGAGAAAGAGCTGAGTCTTCCGAGCTTCCCACTTGGCTTCTGCACTTTCCCACACATCTTCCAAGAGCTGGAGGCTTGCTTTTTCCTCCTTGAGCAATTGGGGAACATATTTGATTTCCATCCTGTCAGTGCATTTCAGGTATTCGTCATCAAATGCGTTATCTGCCATATCTAACATTTCAGCTTGTACCTTCAAAGGAAAAGGACATTAATATTCTCGAAATAAAGATATTTGGTGTACATCATTTCTCTCAATTTATCGCATCCACCCCCTCATGCCAAGACTCTCTCCCTTGCTTACAATGAACTTTGGATATGTTTTTACGTAGGAAGTATCTTCCACTGCTAATGATAACTTTTCTCACATATTTGTATGAAAGAGTAAATGACCATGCCTACAACTCATTCGTTGGAACCCTGTGGTACAGAGGAAAGAACAATGAGGGTGAAACTGAAGAAAGTGGGTGGCAGTCCTGGCTTTGAACAATATTCTTAGCTAATTTCCTCAACCACTCAAGACTGTTGAGTAAATTTGAAATATCTTGTGTGAAACACTTTACATGAAGGATAAATATATAAAGGCAAATATTACCCTTTTTGCTTTGATGATGGCCCCTCCCCCTTGTCTGTGTGGTTCAGCTAGGACTGATTGTGCATCTTCAGGCCCTATGATAAGCGACGATGCAGGCTTAAAAAGCAGAGCACTCCCAGAAAAACAAAAGGCTTTCTTTCTCTATAACCATAATCTCTAAGGATAATATTGGCTTGTGGCAGCCAATAGTTATCCATTTAGTCCCATGGAGAATCCTGTCTACAAATAAAGCCAACAAAGGAAGGTCTGCAGAGCTGAGAGGTGAAGAGAGAGATGAGGGCCTGATAACATTACTTAAGGCCTGAGTCTAGCTTTACCTGGAAACTGTATGTTACTTCAGTCATAAGAATCAGTAAATTCCCTATTTATCTGAGCTAGTTTGAATTGTCTTTCCGTTACAAGTAACTGGAAAAGGACTAAGCATCTTTAAATGACACACATAACATAAGAAGCAGGGCAGTGTAGTGTAACGAACACTACTAGCTTTGAATCAGATAGATCTGGGTTCAAATTCCATTTCTGTTAGTAACTAGGTACTAATTACTTATGGGAAAGTTACTTGACATTTCTGAGCTTCAATTTTTTTCATCTAAAAAAATGGGGATAACGTGAGGAAATGATATCTTAATTGCAGGATTGCTGTGAGGATTAAATGATATAATGAATATATGCAAGTCCTTAGCCCCAAGGCACATATCAAGCCTTCAACAAGCTGTGCTTATTCTTATCATTTCGTAATAGGAATATATGTACAGTCTTCCCTCAGTATCCATGGGGGATTGGTTCCAGGAGCCCCCGCAAACACCAAAATCCACAAATGCTCAAGTTCTTTATAAAACTGGCATGGTACAGCCTTCCCCGGCAGTCCAGTGGTTAAGGCTCCGCGGTTGCACAAACCAGGGGTGCTGGTTTGAACCCTGGTCGGGGAACTAAGATCCTGCATGCCACGTGGTGCAGCCAAAAAAAAAAAAGGCACAGTACAATGAATACAGTGGGCCCTCTCTTATCTGCGGGGTCATGCATGTATGGATATGGAGGGCAGACTGTATTATACTGTAAGTTCCTCAAGGGCACGATATGTATCATATTTATCTTCTGAATTCCAAGCATCTAGCACAGCAACTGGCAAAATATTTAGTTCAAGTGAACCAAGTAAGAACCCTGTGCTCAGGCCTATGGATCAAAACACCGGGTGAGCACATCTGCCCAGAGACACCATCTAAGGGTTTCGACAAGTAAAAGGGTAATGCCCTCCATATCATTTGTCTCTTTCCGCTACTCTATACTTGTATGGTACACTGACTGCATAAGTTGCAACCTCAGTTGGAGACTTTATAGAAACACTTAGCCAGGATCTGTTAAAGTTGCGGGCTCCCTGTGAATGATTCTTAAAGCGTGTGAGTGTGTGTGTGGAAAGGAAGAGGCGGTGCAGGGAACCAACTTAAGAAAAAGCAAAATATAACTTGATACCTCCTTCTCACTATCTCTCTTCTCCCCTCAGAGGCAAACTTCAAAAAGACATCTATCTTTGCCATCTCCGTTTCATTTCCACTCATATCCCAACCCTCTTCAATCCGGTTTCCCACCCCCATTCCTCCATCCAAATAGCTCTCACTAAGGAAACATTTCTTCTTAGACTCCTTTGCAGATCTAGCATATTTTAGTCGGCCATTAAACGCTGGTGTTTCTCAAGGCTACTTATTTTCCAACTCTCAATTCTACCCTTAGGCAATTATATACGACCCATAGTTTCAGTTATCGTCTAAATACCTCTGACCTGTCCTGTAAGTGCAAGATATGTATAGCAGCTGCCTACTTACTAACTCCACTAGAATTGCTCAAAGACCCTTCAAACAAAACGATCTAAGACCAAGACCAAACTTATAATCTTACTGCCTACAACTACCATCAACCTAGTCCTTATACAAAACCATCTATTCATTTGTGAAATTTTCTTAGATTTCTCCTTCTCAGTCACCCCCTGTGGCCACTTCATCATTAAGGCCTAACATCCAGAGTGCTTTCTGTATGCGAAGCACTAAGTGTGCACATATATTAATGCATTTAATCTTCACGGTAACCCTGTGAGGTAGGTAGGTACTATTATTCGTTCCTTTTTTAAGGATGAGGAAACTAAGGCACAGAGAGATTAACTTGTTTGGAATTGATATTTGAACCCAGGCAATCTGGCTCCAGAGTCCATTCTCTTAACCAAAGTGTTGTGTTTCTGATGATGAAGATCACTGACATTTATGTAGCAGTACTTTTTAAAAAAGGAGTTTAATTTTGTCCTCATAACAACCCTTATGAAAGGCTGGGAAGGCAATTCACAACACCGTTTTATGAATGTAGGAATTGTGCTGGCATCAGAAACGGTCTTGATTACCAGCCACAGAATATTCTGCTGGGGAAGTCACTGAGACCCCTGAACTCCTGGGTCTGTAGGTCACTTTCTTGAAGTGGGAATTTGAGCTTCATGAGATCAAATCATTGCCATCACCTAGCCAAGAAATGCACTTTCCTCCAGAGCACAGAATGTACCAGAGTGCATCTTGGGCGCCAACGCCTAATTTATCTTCAAGACTTCAACATCTTATAAGACATCACACCCTGAAACCACCACCCCGCATTCCTCACACCATATCAAGGGTTGATCCAATATGATCCTGTCTTTCCCCCTGTGCCTCTAACCAGTCTCTGCATGTCTAATTTTAGACATCAAGTCTTTCTGGCCAAAGGCCACCGCTGATTGTGTGTTCTGTATAGTGAGTACCTTGAGCACTGAAAAAGCCCACAAATGTCACCACAATTCAGGGGAAACTGAATGCACAAGGAACAGGTACAAAGGCTAGGTGAACACACTGATTATATTTTCTTCCTCTGAGTTATCCATTGAAACAAAAGCCTATATGGATGAAATTCAATTACCAAAGGTTTATCACAAAAATGTAAAAATGACCTGAATGGTTAAAAAAAGAAATTGGTTAAACAAATTATGAAACGTTCATAAAACAAACACATCAAATTTATGCTGCAGAAGAATATTAAAAAGGCAAATCAAAACCACAGTGAGATACCACCTCACACCCATTAGGATGGTATAAAGATAAGGAAGAAAAAGGAAAATAGGGACTTCCCTGGCGGCGCAGTGGTTAAGAATCCGCCTGCCAAGGCAGGAGACACGAGACACAGGTTCAACCTCTGGTCTGGGAAGATCCCACATACCTCGGAACAACTAAGCCCGTGCATCACAACTACTGAGCTTGCGTGCCACAACTACCGAAGCTCACGTGCCTAGAGCCCGTGCTCCAAAACAAGAGAAGCCACCACAATGAGAAGCCTGTGCACCGCAACAAAGAGTAGCCCCCGCTCACTGCAACTAGAGAAAGCCTGCACGCAGCAACGAAGACCCAACACATCCAAAAAAAAAAAAGGAAAATAGCAAGTGTCAGCAAGGATGTAGAGAAATAGAACCCTCATACCCTGCCGTATAAGTAATTAAAATGGTGCAGCCACTGTGGAAAAGTTAGAGTCACATGACCCAGCAATTCTACTCCTGGGTATATACCCAAGAGAACTGAAAATATATGTTCCCACAAACAAAAACCTTTGCATGAAAGTTTGTGGCAGGACTATTCATTCATAAGAACAAAAAAGTGGGGCCAACCCAAATGTCCATCAATTAATGAATGGATTTAAAAAATGTGGCATAACCATGCAATGGAATATTATTAAACTATAAAAAAGAAGGATGTGCTAATATACACTGCAACATGGATGAACCTTGAAAACGTTATGCTAAGTAAAAGAAGCCACACAAAAGGCCAGATATTGTATGATTCCATTCAGATAAAATGTCCAGAATATGCAAATCCATAGAGACAAAGTGCATCCCAGGGGATGCAGGGAAGAGGGAACTGGGACTGACTGCTTATAGCTACAGGATTTCTTTTTTGGCATGATGGGAATGTCCTATAATGAGATAGTGGTGATGGTTGCACAGCATAGTGAATATATGAAAATCACTGAACTGTACACTTTAAAATGGTATATTTTGGGGACTTCCCTGGTGGAGCAGCGGTTAAGAATCCGCCTGCCAATGCAGGGACACGGATTCGATCCCTGGGCCAGGAAGATCCCACATGCCGCACAGCAACTAAGCCCATGCACCACAACTACTGAAACTGCACTCTAGAGCCCACAAGCCACAACTCCTGAGCCCGTGTGCCACAACTACTGAAGCCCGTGCGCCTAGGGCCCATGCTCTGCAACAAGAGAAGCTACCACATTGAGAAGCCTGCACACCGCAACAAAGAGTAGCCCCCGCTCGCCGCAACTATAGAAAGCCCACGCACAGCAACGAAGACCCAAAACAGCCAAATTAAATAAATTAAAAAAAAATTTTTTTTAAAGTAAAATGGTATATTTTTATATGTGAATTATACTTCAATTTTTAAAAAGTCACACTGCAGACCAGGTAACAGAATATACAGTGATTGCATAAACAATATATCAGAATATTAAATTTAAAAATGGGTAAAATTTTAAGAATTTAACACATTTTAAAGAACGTACTTCAAATCCGTGGACAAATACTCATTCAGTAGTGATGTGAGAGGTAACAATGTGGCGGGACATATCAAGCGAGGTACCTGGCTCATACTTTACATAAAAATATGACACAGAATGTTTAAAGATTCAATTGTAAAAAATAAAATCATAAACTCTCTATCAGAAAAAAAAAGAATACTGAATGTGGGAAAATAGTCACTATATAGTTTAATGGAAAACATGTAGATAAACATTGCAGTGTCATCTTATCTGAAGAAAAATACATATTTTTAGAATATCTGATGCCATGGACAGACATCTGTAGCACAATATTAACTTAAAAAGGTAAAAAAAATACTATGTATAGTGTGAATCCATTTTTGTAAATTACAAACATAAACACATAGAAGAAAGCTGAGAAGAATACACACCAACAGATTGAGTCTTTCCCTCTGGGTGGAAGATTGTGGATGATTTTTACTTTCCTCTTTTTGATTAATTTTAATTTTTCAATTTTCTACAGTTAACACCTATCGGTGTGTAAAAGATAAGATCTACTTGTAAAAAACTAATTTACCTACTCTCTCTGTTCTCATTTCTATCATCAACCCACACAAATGCCTCAGGCAACCTTATATCAAGAGTTCCCATTCCAGTGACCACATGCTTCCCATTCCTAACATTACCTGGAAGATGTCCATTAGAATCATAGGTGCCAGCAGCACGGTGACCATTTCAAAATGTCCTGCCTTCATTTTTCTCTTCTAAATTAGAAAGAAAAAATTCCGATTTAGTAGACTTAAAGAAAAGGTTTAGGGAAGTAGGACAGGATGACACACTATATATATTTTTTCATTCTGGGTAACAGTGGGTATCATAATGGTTAGGAAGTGATTATTAATAAATTTCCAATGGCTGGAAAGGTCATTAGACTTTGTCTGGTGGTCTAACACCCTCATTCTACAGATGAGGAAACCAAAGCTCAGAGAACTCCAGCAGTTTGCTCAAGATTAAATCTGTCCATTTCCATTCTCTTTTAGACATGTTGTCTCTCCCACCATAGTCACTGGTAGTCATTTTTTCTTCCTATCTCTAAATCTCGCCTCAGCATACATAGGAAATCACAAACTAAAAAACAACCATTTCAGATTGGTCCCCTAGATCCCAGTCTCCAAGAATTCTCCAGGAGTTAGTATCCACGCATATCATCCATTCTTTGATCCTCTTTGCAAACCAAGTCATGCCCATTTGGCTAGGATGGAGGCCAGTAGTGGTAAAAACCAGAAGGTTATCCGAGGCAGTCTGCTTCTCCCAAATATTCACATTTAAGAGAAGCCAAGGATAAAACAAGTGTCTTGCATAACTTTCTGAAGGCAGGAATAAGAAGGAAATGGGTAGGAAGCAATTCTAGTAAGATTATATAATTCTACTGGCTGAATGCCCAATATTCATCCCAAAGTTCATGAGACAGGAGCAGGTAAACAGGAGGGTAAGAGGCCGTCAAGGGCTGAAGCTGTGCCAGAGCCATTAACTGATTCAACTGAAGACTGGTTTATAGTTCCTTCCACATACCTACAACAAAGTTGACATGGCTGGAACTGAACTGAAATCTCTTCTTTTATCCTACCAATCACCATATTATGGCATCTGAAAATGGGGAAGAACAGCACAGGGGAAAGAAGATAGTCTTCCCTTTGGCCCCAGATCCCCATCTTTATTCAGGAGCAGTTTCTTTCACTAAAGATATCAAAAGATAGTACAAACATGCCACTCTTGTGTGAAGCTTCCCTTTAAAAAAAGATTTGGAAAATAATACTTGACAGATAACTGTCACAAGGCAGTATGTACCAAGCAAGCTCTGAATCAGGATTTTCTCGAAAATTCTTCACTTCCATAGTCTGACTGTAAATAAGTCAAAATGTTTACCTGGCTTTTCTGCCTGTGGAGGTTTAAATGATGCTAGTAGTCTCCCCCAGTCTCTCAGTGGTGGTGAACGTGTCTTCAGGATAGGAGGCTGTTGACACTGAGAGCTGAGAAGGGAATGCTTTTCTTTTTATAAACATCCCCAGCAATAGCTTGGCAGTGGCACATTACCTCATTTGTGTTCTGCTATTTATATCTGCCCCCCAGACTATCCCTTGGAATCATTACTGTTAACACCTGAAATCTCCAAGAGGCTTGTAAAGCCACAGCAATTCCCTCTAACCACACAGCGTGTTCAGCTCTGAGCCCTCAGTTCTGGGCTTCTCAGAGAGTGATCACTTCCCATTCCTAACCCTTTGACCCTTTGACTCTGAGATGTCAGACTAAAGCAAGGATTTTACCCTAGCTAAACGGTTCACATAACTCAGGGGACTTGCTGTGTTAATCACTGGCAATGGTGATGGCTATCACCATTCACTCAACTGGCTTACTGTATTTTAGGTACTGTGCCAGGTGCTGGGACACACAAGTAAGTAAAATAAAGCTGAAAAGCACTCAAGCTAACAAAAGACATGAATATGCATACTTAACCAGAATACATGTTAAGAATCTTAGGTACAGGCAAAGCCCAGTGAGAACACTAAGAAGGGAAGGATCTGGTAATATCTACAACTATAGCTCTCATTTGAGTAAAGTACACCTAGTAAATATATTGACTGCAGTGCTGAAGAATACTTAAGAATTCACTGACTATATATATATATATAAAACCGTGAAATGTCCTAGGAAATTCATGCATATGTGTATCAATATTAATTAATAGAATATTTAGAAAGTAGCACTATTCATAAAAGCCCCAAACTACAAACCATCCAAATGCCTATAAACAGTAGAATGGATAAATTGTGGTGTATTTATACCATGGAATTTTGTATAGTATTGAAAATTAATAAACTCTTAACTATATGTATGTGCATAAATGCCACAAATTTTAAACCTATGAACAGATACAAACATCTACACACTGAATGATTTAATTAGTATAGAGTACAAAATCAGGCAAAACACTTCTATGGCATCAGATGTCAGAACAGTACCCTGAGTGGGAGGTAATAACTGGAAGAGGCACAAGGGGAGCATCTGGGATGCTAGCTAGGTTCTGTTTTTGGTTCTGGGTCTCGATTACACTGATATATTGTTTATGAAAATTCACCAAGCTATTACATACTTAAATGTATTTTTCTCTGTGTGTGTGTACATACATATTTACTCAGTGAAACATTTTAAACTGTCGTGAAGTGAACCTACTTTTACAAAACCCATCTCTCCTCCTCAGACTCTTCCAGACGTCTAGCCTCTACCCACCTCACTGGCCAAGCAATTTAAGATTAAATACACTGAATAGGCTCTCAGTAATTGTATCATTTTAAAAAATAGAGTTTAGTTAGAAAGGAAAAAGTTTGCACATGTTTTCAGTCCTTAGGCTCACAATGACCGGCATTTTAGGCCCAGGCATGTGGGCCTACAGGGAATGAGGTAGTGGGATTTTCCTGTATTTGGCCCCCTAAAGCCTATCAGATTCATCAATGAATCACACAAAAGACTGAGTCTACCAAAAAGAGCATAACAAACACTGCATGAAGTTCAAGGCAAGTTTGACCTTATTTATTCCCAGTATGCTTTTGCTCCATTCTTGTTTTCTTTCAAGAAAACATAGTGACTTGATATTTGTATATACTGTGACATGATCACCACAATTAAGTCTAATTAACATCCATTACCATACACAGTTACAAAATATTTTTGTGTGTGATGAGAACTTTTAGGATTTAGTCTCTTGGCAACTCGCAAATGTGCAATATAGTATTATGAACTCTAGTTGCCAATTAGATCCCCATGACTTACTTACTTTGTAACTGGAAGTTAGTGCATTTTGACTCTTTTCACCAGTTCTGCTCAACCCCCACCCCCATCTCTGGCAGACACCAATCTGTTCTCTGTATCTATGAGCTTGGTGGTTGCTTCTGTTTTTAGATTCCACATATAAGTGAGATCATACGTTGTTTTTCTCCATCTGACTTATTTCACTTGGCAAAATGCCCTCAAGATCCATCCATGTTGTTGCAAATGACATTATTTCATTCTTTTTATGGCTGAGTAATATTCCATTGTATATAGGTGCCACATCTTCTTTATCCATTCATCTGTCGATGGACACTTAGGTGGCTTCCATACCTTGGCTACTGTAAATAATGCCACAAAGAACATGGAGGTGCAGAAATCTTTCTAACTGTTTTCATTTTCTTTGGGTAAATACCCAGAAGTGAAATTGTTGGATCATACAGAAGTTCTATTTTTAACTTTTTGAGGAACCCTCATACTGTTTTTCATAGCGACTGCACCAATTTACATTCTCACCAGTAGTGTACAAAGGTTTCCTTCTTCATATCCTAACATTTGTTATTTCTTGTCTTTTTGATAATAGCCATTCTAACAGGTGTAAGGTGATATCTCACTGGGTTTTTTAATTTTTATTTTTCTTGGCCGCACTGCACAGCATGTGGGATCTCAGTTCCCTGACCAGGGATTGAACCCATGCCCCCTTCAGTGGAAGCACAGAGTCTTAACCCCTGGACGGCCAGGGAAGTCCTTCTCATTGTGGTTGATCTTTCCATGTGTCTGCTGGCCATCTGTATATCTTATTTGAAAAAATACCTATTCAGGTCTTTGCCCATTTTTTATATAGATTGTTTTTTTCCTATTGAGTTGTATGAGTTCTTTATATATTTTGGATATTAACCTTTTATCATATGTATGATTTGCATATTATCTCCCAATCAGGCTGTATTTTCATTTTTTTTTTCTTTTAACCAGGTAAGTCCCTGGGGGCCTTTTTAAAAAAATTAATTAATTAATTTATATGATTTATTTTTGGCTGCAGCGGGTCTTCATTGCTGCATGCAGGCTTTTCTCTAGTTGCAGCGAGTGGGGGCTACTCTTCATTGCGGTGCACGGGCTTCTCATTGTGATGGCTTCTCCTGTTGCAAAGCAGGGGCTCTAGGCATGGGGGCTTCAGCAGTTGTGGCTTGCGGGCTCTAGAATGCAGGCTCAGTAGCTGTAGCGCATGGGCTTAGTTGCTCCATGGCATGTGGGATCTTCCCGAACCAGGGCTCGAGTCCATTGGTAGGTGGACTCCTAACCACTGTGCCACCAGGAAAGCCCCCTGTATTTTCATTTTTAGATGGTTTCCTTTGCTGTGCAGAAACTTCTTAGTTTGGTACAGTCCCACTTGTTGATTTTTGCTTTTGTTGCTTTTGCTTTTGGTGTCATATCCAAAAAATCACTGCCAAGACCAATGTCAAGGTGCTTACCACTTATGTTTCCTCTAGGAGTTTTATGGTTCAGGTCTTATGGGTTGGCCAAAAAGTTCGCTCAGGTTTTCCCATAAGATGTTTTGGAAAAACCCAAACAAACTTTTTGGCCAACCCAATACATTCAAGTCTTTAATACATTTTGAGTTAATTCTTAGATATGATGTAAGATAGTGGTCCAGTTTCATTCTTTTGCCTGTGGCTGTTCAGTTTTCCAAACACCATTTACTAAAGAGACTGTCCTTTCCCCACTGTATACTGGCTCCTTTGCCATAAGTTAATTGACCATATACACATGAGTTTATTTCTGGGCTTGCCATTCTATTTCACTGATCTATGTGTCTGTTTTTATGCCAATACCATACTGTTTTGATTACTATAGCTTTATAATATAGTTTGAAATCATGGAGCACAATGCCTTCAGCTTTGTTCTTCTTTCTCAAGATTTCTTGGGGGTTTTT